GTGTATGAATGCCAGTGTGTGTATGCCAGTGTATGTGTGTGTGTATGCTGGTGTATGAATGCCAGTGTATGTGTGTGTATGCCCGTGTCTGAATGCCAGTGTGTGTCTGAATGCCAGTGTATGAATGCCAGTGTGTGTATGCCAGTGTATGTGTGTGTGTATGCTGGTGTATGAATGCCAGTGTATGTGTGTATGCCAGTGTCTGAATGCCAGTGTCTGTATGCCAGTGTATGAATGCCAGTGTGTGTATGCCAGTGTGTGTATGCCAGTGTGTGTATGCCAGTGTATGTGTGTGTGTATGCTGGTGTATGAATGCCAGTGTATGTGTGTGTATGCCAGTGTCTGAATGCCAGTGAATGTGTGTCTGAATGCCAGTGTATGAATGCCAGTGTGTGTATGTTGGTGTATGAATGCCAGTGTATGTGTGTATGCCAGTGTCTGAATGCCAGTGTATGTGTGTCTGAATGCCAGTGTATGAATGCCAGTGTGTGTATGCCAGTGTATGTGTGTATGAATGCCAGTGTATGTGTGTGTGTATGCTGGTGTATGAATGACAGTGTATGTGTGTGTATGCCAGTGTCTGAATGCCAGTGTGTGTGTGTATGCCAGTGTCTGAATGCCAGTGTATGAATGCCAGTGTATGTGTATGTATGCCAGTGTGTGTATGCCATTGTGTATGCCAGTGTATGTGTGTGCCAGTGTGTATGCCGGTGTATGAATGCCAGTGTATGTGTGTATGAATGCCAGTGTATGTGTGTATGTATGCCAGTGTGTGGATGCCAGTGTATGTGTATGTATGTATGCCAGTGTATGAATGCCAGTGTATGTGTGTGTATGCTAGTGTGTGTATGCCAGTGCATGTGTGTATGTATGCCAGTGTATGTGTGTGTGTATGTATGCCAGTGCGTGTATGCCAGTGTGTGTCTGTATGTATGTATGCCTGTCGGTATGTATGTATATATCAATATGCAGTATGTATATGTATGTTTGTCAGTATGTATGTCTGCTTGTATATGTGTGTGTGTCTCAGCATCTCCCTATGCATGTGTGTATGTCTGTTTCAGTATTTGTATCTGTTAGTGTGTGTGTATTCCTGTGGGCGGGATTTGGAGGCAGGCTTGAAGGGGGGCCCAGACCTTGAGCTGTGTTAGGGGCCCCAAAATTTCTGATGGCGGCCCTGCTGCTGGAGGGGGGAGACTGATTGTCTCCCCTTTGGACAAAGCACCATGCTGCTTTGGGGGTAGACCGACTGTCTCCCCTTTGGCTAAACAGCCCTGTTGCTGGGGGACAGGACCGACCGTCCCTACCCCCTGTGGTTTGGGCACAGGGACTATGGTCCCATCTGCACCCGGTGTGGGGCTTATCATCTCCACTTGGTGGGCTAGGCTGCCGCTAGGGAGGGGGGATGAGGTTCTCTCCTCCCAGTAGAAGACTCTGCTGCTGGGGAGCAGGACCCACTGTCCATACTCCTTGTAGCTTGGACGCAGAGACCATGGTCCCATCTGCGCTGGTGGGGAACTTAGTGTCTCCCCTTGGTGGGCTAAGCTGCCGCTGGGGAGATGGGGTAACAAGCTCCTCTCCCTTACACACTTTTAGCCGCTGGGGAAAAGAGACACTGCTCTCTATTCCCTGCAAATCACACTGCCGCTGGAGATCTGAGCCGACCACCCAGCATCCCTGTAGCTCACCCTGCCGCTGGGGAGGGAGGACGCTGCTCTCCTCTCCCTGCAAGGTACACTGCCACTGGGGAGGGGAGACGATGCTCTCCACTCCCTGCACTTCACACTGCCGCTGGGGAATGGAGACACGGCTCTCTATTCCCTGCAAATCAATCTGCTGCTGGGGATCTGGGCTGACCGCCCAGCATCCCTGTAGGGCCAGTGGAGAGACCTTGGTCCCATCTCAACCTGCCACCTGGGGTTCCTCCTAGTAAGTCTCTACAATATCTTCCCAGCTGAAGGGGTCTGGAACTGCATCTGCCACTCTGCTTTTCTGTCATGCCTTTTCAATGGAGTGGAACAGATGTTGGTAGTCCTGCTCCAGCTCCATCTCTCGGGTCGCTAGGTGGGCCAGGTCTTGCTCCACCTCATGAGGGTCATCCAAGTCATACATACTCTCCCTCCACTCAAAAATGTCACGGAACCGGGTTTGTGTAGAGCTCCCAAAATCAGGCTCAGAAAAAGACTCCCATAACAAACCAGTCCCATCAAACTCCTCTCCCTCTGGCTTGTCATGCTCGGCTGTCCAGGGTATATACTGCGTTGCATACCACCAGAGTGCCTGGTAGGCCACAGCTCCTGCCGTACCCGGTGCTCCAGTTCCTTTATCCACTCCTCCAGGGGCTGCTCTCCCAGGAGGGGCATCCGCAGTGCCACTCGTGTCTGCTGTCGCTGCTCCTCACTGGGGAGTCCCTCGCCCCGCTGGTGCTGTATATTATCCAGTGCCTGGTACCAGATGCCTTTGCGGACTGCATCTCGATCGTCCATGACACCCTCATCGTATAAAACTGCTGCTGCCAGGGTCGCTGTACTCAGACATGCGTTGCCCTCAATTTGTAAATCAAGGGAATGGTGTTTCCTTGTAGCTGTCCTTCTGGGCTGTGAGAATGATTCCGCCACTTACCACCAATTGTAACGGCACCCCCAGGCATGAAAGGGTTAACCCGCCGTTTAGTAGGTCTTCCCCTTCCAGAGACACAGGCACAGCTACTGTAGACACCAATCCACCGAACCGGAAAAGCATATGAATGCTGTAAACAGCCGAACCGGAACCATACGAATGGGTTAATGTAATTATCACAGATAGAGAAATACAGTTTTTCCACATTATTCATAACTTTAAAAGTATACATCACATTCACATAAAACTTACATTTTCAGAATCAGTATACTCCAAATACAAACAAGTCAAAATCATCCAAATTGGTCCATTGGTTCAAAAGATAGATCAAAGTCCTTTGCGACCAAATGAAGCATGGCTTTTCTGCCCAAAACCAGTTCCACAGAGTCTTCTATTCTGGAGATAATTGTGAAGTAATCCAATTATCTCCAAGGACAGAGGCACAACTCCATTGAACACATGGCCGCAAAAGACAATAAAATACATAAAAATATATAACTGTGCAGTTATTGCATAAAACAGGTACATTCAACATATCCCCAGATAGCTTAGATCTGAGCGCACATTATTACTGAATGGCACTCAGATCACACACATACAGTTCAATTGCCATGGAGCCAAAGTCTTTCCCATAGGGCTCCATGGTATAGCTATCTGGGGTATCACTGCTCAAACAGGGCAAGCACCAAATGACCCGGCTTTCGTGTCTTTGCGGGGGAAAATCAAGCGTTTCAACATGGGGCCATAGTCTAAAGGCAGCAGGCGGGCAACCAGGCTCCTCCAATGCACAGTGGCGAGATTAGTCTCGTCATACAGCATAATTAGGGAACCAACATACTCAAAAATTATGCGAATCGGTTCAGTGGTTCGGGAGATAGCTAGAAGTCCCATTTGACGGACCGTAAGCAGGGCTTTCCTGCCCAAAACAGTTCCACAGATTTGGGCTGTGCGGCCGGTCTATTCACCAGCAGTGTTAATGTGGCGTTCGTATAGTCGAACGTCGTTCAACTACTGTCAAAGCGTCAAAGTCTCAGAGAAGGTAAAAGTTCAGCGGTGTTCGTGCTGTCGCATGTCCGATTTTAGTTCCATGAACGCGACGGCAAAACACCGCTCACCGCGTTCGGCTAAATTAAAATGGCCGCTGCCACGTGTTCATATGCATGAACGGCGGTCCCTTCGACTACTTTGGCACTTTGGCTGCATCCGAAGTGCCATTTGAAAAGTGCATAATTGTAGTAATACAATTTAAAGGGCCAGAAACAGTCTCCAAAGTATAATAGCCATAAATAGAGGCTTTTAAATGGTAATAACTCCCAGGGGATATAGTCACATAGCCATTTCCTGTCTCCCAGCGGCATCAGAGGAGGGAGCAGTGCTGGAAAAGCACGTAAGTCAGTGCTCCCTCACAGCCCTCTATCCCACCCACCAGTGCCACCTTAACAACATTATGGACCCCTGGGCAAAGCAGTGCACTGTGGCTCTGCCTACACACAACTCACAGGAATAAAAATTTAAATTAAAGATAAAATTAGGCTTATACTTATTAGTATCTCCAACAAATGCAAAACATACATAAAATACATACACACAGACTGCTGAACACATTCACACACAGACTGCTGAATACATGCACACAGTCTGCTAAATACACACAGACACAGACAGAATGCTGAGTACACACAGACCGCTGAATACATACACACAGTCTGCTGAATACATACACACAAACACACACACATACTGCATTGAGGGGTGCAGTGTATGTGTTTGTGTGTATGGGTGCAGAGTGTGTGTGGAGTGCTGTGTGTGTGTTTGTGTGAGGGGTGCTGTGTGTGAGGGGTGCTGTGTGTGGGTGGGTTACAATCTGTGTCACCCTCTCTTCTTCTTACCTTTGGTGAAGGGGGGGGACACAGAAAACCCTGGTGGTCTGGTGGTGGTAAGAGAGACAGGTCCTGCAGCTCTCCTGTCCTCCCGCGCGATGTTGTGTGGAGCGTTGCCATGGTAACATGTGGCAACGCTCCACACAGATTGCTCGCAGGAGGACAGGAGAGCTGCTTCTCAGATCCCTCCCCCTGTCCTCCTGACACAGAGGCAGAGTAGGTGCCTGCTGTTTTGGGCAGGCAGGTGCCTACTCTCCATTGATGCTGACTGGTGACCTATGGCCGCATGCCCACAGCCATAGGTTTGCCACTAGGCTATAAGAATATTGCCAAGACGTTGAAACTGAACTGCAGCTTGATGGGAAAAATCATACAACAGCTTCACAGGACAGGTTCCACTCAGAACAGGCCTCGCCATGGTCGACCAAAGATGTTGAGTATCAGCATCATATCCAGAGTTTGTCTTTGGGAAATAGATGTAAGAGTGCTGCCAGCATTGCTGCAGAGGTTTAAGGGGTGGGGGGTCAGCCTGTAAGTGCTCAGACCGTACACCGCACACTGGATCAAATTGGTCTGCATCGCTGTTGTCCCAGAAGAAAGCCTCTTTCTAAAGATGATGCCCAAGAAAGCCTGCAAACAGTTTTCTGAAGACAAGCAGGTCCAATGAGACCAAGATAAACGTATTTGGTTCAGATGGTGTCAAGCGAGTGTGGCGGCAACCAGGTGAGGAGTACAAAGACAAGTGTGTCTTGCCTACAGTCAAGCATGGTGGTTTGAGTGTCGAGGTCTGGGCCATTGAGGGGAACCATGAATGCCAACATGTACTGTGACATACTGAAGCAGAGCATGATCCCCTCCCTTCGAAGAATGGGCCGTAGGGCAGTATTCCAACATAATAATGACCCCAAACACACCTCTAACATGACCACTGTCTTGCTAAAGAAGCTGAAAGTAAAGGTGATGGACTGGCCAAACATGTCTCCAGACCTAAACCCTATTGAGCACCTGTGGGTAATCAACAGAAGGTGGGGGAGTGCAAGGTCTTCTAACATCCCCCAGCTCCACTATGTCATCATGGAGGAGTGGAAGAGGACTCCAGTGGCAACCTGTGAAGCTCTGGTGAACTCAATGCCATGAGATTTAAGGCAGTGCTGGAAAATAATGTTGGCCATACAAAATATTGATACTTTGTGGTCCAATTTGGACATTTCCACTTAGGGGTGTACTCACTTTTGTTGCCAACGGTTTAGACATTACTGGCTGTGTGTTGAGTTATTTTGAGGGGACAGCAAATTTATACTGTTATACAGGCTGCACACTTACTACTTTACATTGTAGCAGAGTGTCATTGTTTCAGTGTTGTCACATGAAAATATAAAATAGGGTCTTGGAATGAGGCACCTGTGACAGGGAGTGGTGCAAAAACATTCTGCCACACAATTGGGAAATTACATACAACATTTCCAGCTTTACAAACTACGGTTGACTATTCCTCTCATCCTTGTTATGCCCACACAATTCCTTCACTTATGACCCTCTCTCTGCACAAGAACCC